AAAGATTTTTGCAAATTTATAAACACCACATATACAAAATGCTTGTTAATTAAAGCTCTTCTAATCTTCTCAATAATTTAAATAATAAGTGCAATTTCAATTGTGTTTGCTTCAAAATCTTTATTTTTTTAGAAACTTATTTAGCCTGTTATGCATAGACTTCTCAAAAAGTTTGCTAAGGTTGGAAAGAAGTGAAATGGGTCAATAGTTAGAAAAGTCTAGTAAGGAGCCTTTTTTATAAATTGGAATGACTTTAACAATTTTAAAAATTTCAGAGAGTTTGCCATACTTAAAAGAACTATTCATCATAAGTTTAAGAAAACATGTTGATATGCTGTTAGGTCCATAAGTTTTATCTCTTTTAAGATCATTATTAATAAGTTTAGATACCTCATCTTCAATCACAGGATTAATAAAGAAAGAATTAGCATTAGGCAAATTTAGAAAGTCACTATAAGTACATTTTGATGCCATGATTTTATTTAGAAGTTTTTTACAAATATAAACAAAACAAATATTAAATATATTTAAAACAGTGGCATGGGCTGTGATGATATTTCATTCAGATTTAGCTTAGTAGGAGTTTTATGTAATGATGCTTTAATATTTGTCATATATTTTATGCCTTTCCATTTATTTTATACGTTACTTATGTTCTTTTTAAAATAAGTTATGTAGTATGATTTTTTGCTACTTTTTAATAAGTTGATAATTTTATTTCTGTGGAATTAAAATTTTGTGAAAATTTTATTTTTAGTAATAATGTTCTTACATCTCATAAATTTTTTATTGTGTTTTTTTTTTTGAAGGATTAAACGAGTATAAGCATAAGGTATCAAGGTAATTGGAAATCGGATTAGATTCACTATAACTCATTAGACCTGCATTGAAATCACCTATTAAAAAGATCAATTTTTGTTCTTTGTTTAACTTTTCAAGAAGTGGAGGTAAAAATGTTGTATTGAATTCATTTTTGATCATTGATGGATGACAATGTGTACAGCAAATTTATGACATTTGGTTTATAAGGCTTAATGATTTCAGCAAAAACTCAATTAATTACAAGTAATTTTAGTAAGTAAATCTTTAAGTCATGACAAACTACATAATTTAAATTAGACTGCATACATAAAAGAGCGCCACCTTTTTTGACCTCAGTGGGGCAGTGGGGCTTAATGTTGAATCCATTAATAGTTATGTCTGTTATATTGATACCATTAAGATGTAAAATAGATTCAGTAACCTCTATTGCCATAAGTATGATATTTAATGTGCTGATAAGACTGCACGGGTCATCAACGTGATAGGGAAGTAATGCAATGTTAAGGTAAAGATATAGATCAAAACTAGTTTTGATAGCTTTATTAAAGTCAATAGCATTATGGAATATACAATTTATAGCAGAAAAGAAATTGTATTAAGTTCTTTAAGTATGTTTCTTATATGAATAGGAGATACAAGAGAACTTGATGATACAGTTAGTGGATTTTTGCATAATAATGTTGTTAAAAGCTCATTATCATTTAGCAAACCAAATGGCATGTTGTTAGATATACAGATAAAACAATACCATTCTGAGTCTTCAGTGAAAAGATTTTAAGTGAGCAAATCTATTTGGTTGCACCTAGCATGAAACCATGAACAACAGCAGTCACAAAAGATGGTTTTGTGTTTATCTGTAAAAATTTTAAAACAAAAGATGCAGAGAGTTTTATTTTCCATAACTATATAAGCAGAATGCTATTATAATGTTTTATTTTTCAAAATCACAGAAACTAATGAAACAACTTAAGAGTGGCAAAGGATATAATAAACAAGATGAGATAAAAATATGAGTGTAGTTATGTGGCAAAATGAGTTTGCATAAGAACAGTTTATTTAACACAGTACAGATAGGTTATACAAAATTAATTAAATAGTGTTGACAAATTAAGTAGATATTGACAACTAACAAAAACACTTAGAAGCCAATATAATATGGAAACAATATATTTGTTAAAATAAACTTGATGAAAAGAATAAATAAAAATAAATGTACAAATAAAATGTTAAAACAAGAATAAGAAAAGAATAAGTAAAATTAAATGTACAAGTAATAAATAAAGTTCGAAAGATAAAAGATGGTAGTTATGTAAATATATAATAAATAACATAAGTTGAAAAACTAAATTATATAACATTTATATAATCACTAATATATGCTTTAGAGATAAATTTGTAGATATATATTTATATAGGTATATAGTAACATATTATTATATGAATAAATGATATGTTATTATAGATACATTAGTTATAGGGGAAGTGGGGGCATAACCGGATATGGAGGCACAACCGTTTTTGAACATTTCCCTTTGAAAAATGTTATCTATGACAAAAACATACTTCGCGTTAGTAAAACAGTTTCCTTTATTTTGCTTATGCCAAAAAAGTGCCTGATGCGTTTCCATTAAGTTGTGCATAATAATGTTTACTTTGATAAAAATATTATATTTACATCATATTTTTCCAGACCTTTTTTTTAAGGATTAAGCAATATTTGATTTTGGTTCTAAATGTGATATCAACATTATTCCATCAAGTAAAAACCATTTTTGATATCAACATAACCTAAGAAGCAAGCTATGAAACTATATTCTTTCTAAAAATTCTCTGTCCTCTGGGGTAGAAACGCATAGACGCGCAGGATGCACAACTGCATACTATTAATATTTATCAAAGTTATGTAATTTCAAATTACAATCGTCAGTGTTAAAACTTGAGTTGAAATAATTTTGTTTTGAGATGTTGGAAATTAGATTTCGTGTTTATTTATTTATTTTTTATAAATTTGTTTTTGAATAGAATATAAAGCTAACAGTAAACTGAATAAGAAAACTGTAAGTACAAAGTAGTGTAAGTACAAAGAATGCAAACACAGTATTCAAACGTCCAACAAAATCAGCAAATAATCTGAGCTGTAACAATTATAAAGAAAATGTTCAAAAAAATGTGTACGCCAACCATTTTTGTGAGGGTGCGGTTGTGCTTCATTATACGGCAAAAACATTTTTTTCACTAAGTGTAGTTTTTGTGTAATGACATTTTCAAAATGTGTTTAATTTTTTTCCTTTTTGCATTAATTTAAAGCTTAATGATGTGGTTATAGAATTAAACTGTTAAAAAAACACATTTTGTTTTTATTTTCATATAACATTAATCCAAATGTTACGGGGTTGGTTATGCCCTTTCTTTCTCTATAGATATAATTATAACTCTATTAAGTAATGAGAATAAATAACCTACAAATATTTATAAGTTGCACAGAAAATTAAAAAACCAATGCGGCTAACCAATAATCATCATCAAAAAAAAAAAGAAAAACAAAAAGAAAAATAAGGAAGTTAAAGCATCTTTAACACCTTTGCTTTCCAACAGGTTTGTGGTAATTTTGTTTGGTTTTTTCTTCTCATTTTTTATTTATGCTACACTTTTCTTCTGGCTTCTTTACTTCTGGCTTCTTGATTATTGTATACCAAATTGTATTGAAAAAATATATTGTATACTTGGATAAGATTATTGTATACCAAAAAAAGGTATAAATTTAAACTTAAAAAAAGAAAATGAAAGCACACAATAATTGAGTTTCAGCCCCAGGGGCTTACTAGCAAATAATTAAAGAGATGTAAGTTTTTAAGTACTTCTACAAGGCAAAACTTTAAAGTATGTTTAAAAGTTGCTTTTATGGTACGTATATATGTTAATATATATATATATACTAATATATATATATATATATATATATATATATATATATATATATATATATATATATATATATATATATATATATATATATATATATATAAAACATTGATAACACGGTGATAATGCAATGATTAAACAATGATATAGGCAGAACTTAAAAAAAAAAGAATATAATTTAAGAAAAATTATATATTTGTTATAAATAACAAAATTATGGATTACAAATATATACTTATATCAATATCAAAATCATTCACCAAGTCATTAATAATTTGAATAAAGAATAACAAAGCTGTTTAAATATACAGATAACTTTGAATTTGAACTCTGTTATTCTTTAACAAATAAGCTCTTGATATATACAGATTAAGTCTCAATTTATTAATTGCGTTACGACATAAACAACTGGATTTATTAACAATGAATACAAAATTGCAAAATTGTTTTTAAATCATTTGAATGCTTTCATAAAACAGTTATTGGAAAAGTATATCTAAATATTTATAGAATTCTATTTATCTTTATAAGTTTTTTTATGGAATTTAAAACTAGTCAAATAATGGATGTTTTGTTATTATACTATTGTAATAAATTTCTTTTAATAATTTGCTTAGTGTTTGTTAAACGGTTGATAAAGTAAAGAGTTCAGACAATTTTTATTTCTACAAACTAAGGTTGTTTTTTTTTAGGTTATTTTTGGCAGTTTGTTTAAGGTTTTAATTGTCAACTTTAAATCTTGCTTTTAAGTTCTATGTGGGCCTGCATCTAAATAGTACTGGAACTAGTTTAAATCTGTGATCTTTGTTACTATTGGTATTAAATAATTTATAATTGAAATATGGCTTTTTTTTATATCAGGCAGTGTTAGGTTTACCATTTAAAGACACTTTGATAATTGATTCTGAAAACTACCTTTATAACAGAAGCTGCGATGTCTCCAACATTGATTGCTTACTAAAAGCCAACGTTAAATAATGTTGTTTAACAACACCGTCAACAGCGTGAATTTTCTAAATTGTAGAACAAAATTAATAATCGCAAACTTTTATTTTTACTAAGATTTTTGGAAAAGATTTTTTACCATTTTTTTTACATATTTTCTAATAAAATAACATAATATCAAATAATATGAAATGTAAATAGTTTTTCATTTTTTTATTATTTTAGTAATATATTGTCATATAAAATTTGCGATTACTTTTAATTAAAAAAACAAAGTAAAGTATGTATATATATGTATGTATATCTATTTG